GGAGAGTGGGGATTCTTTTATTAACATTTGAAAATGGTTGTAACATTTTTGTTTAATTAACTCTATTGTGTATAACCAAAATGTATAAGTATAATTTTAACTTATGACACACTGCAAAAAATGAAATACTTGGCAAGATTTTTTTTTCCTAATTTAAGATAATTATTCTTATATCAAGATTATATTTCTTGTTTTAAGAATAGTTATCTTGGTTTAAGAAATTATTTCTACGTTGAGAAACATGTAAAATTAGTTTTCCTTAAATTAAGATATTATTTCTTGACGCAAGGCTTTGTTAAAACTTAATTTCAAGAAAATTTAACTTGGTATAAAGTGGTTAGAAAGGTTATATCATTACCTGAAGATTATTTATCTTGTCTTTAGAAAAATAATATGAGGTTTGAGAAAAATTATCTTTTAAGTTCAAGCAAGTGTATATAAGTTTTCTTGTTTCAAGAATTATTTGGCCACTGTAAGATAATTTTATTAAGGCTGTAGTGAACCCTAAATTTACAAAGCACTCTTTAGACTCTACTTTTAAAAGTATCTAACCAATCATACTGAAACTTGGCACAAACCTAGTGCCAAGTATGTCACACATACTAAGCTTTGTTGAAGCACAGTATGGGTGTAGGTTGCCATGACAACCAAATGCATCCAGACTGCAGCACAGCAGAGCTGAAAAAAATACTTTAAGACTTGGACATTGTTTATTAAATTAAGGAACAATATTTTTATAGTTACAGACTTACATGCTGCAGTAGCTAAAAAGTTGATAGTTGTGTTCAAATTTTGTATGTTGGAATGGATTATTAATTACTAAGCAAGGGTGGACTGGGCATCTGAGCAAAGTAAAAATAATTTTCATTAATTTTCATTTTATCTTTTAAATTAAAGGCGAGAGAAAGTCCGTTCTGCACAAAAGTCTTGCTCGTAATAGTGTCATTGACTGCATTTCATTAATGTATAATTGATAGTCAAACAATGCATGAAATTCAAATTCCAACTTTCAGGTCCCGCCTATTTTGAATGCAGAACAAAATTTTCCTTACCTTTATATAAATTATTCATTGCTGAATAGAGAAAAGTTATTTGCACGGAGTTTCTGTATTTTTTGACTGTATTTTTTTCTGTATTTTTTTACCATGCAGGCACAAGGCGTTTAGATGTTAGCGTTATATTATGGTAATTTGTTTCGATAATGTGTGAAGTTAATTTTTATATTCTAAATATGTTAAGTAAAATAAAAACTTTATTTCTATATTATTCGATGTATTTTCAAAAATCTTAATAAGATTTATATTTATCTTGGTAAGATTAATACTAATCTTGCTAAGATTTTTAGTAAGATTCGTTCCATTTTTGTAAGATTATTTTTCTTTTATCAAGAATAATTTTCTAGCCAAGAAATATTTTCTTAAAATAAGCTTTTCATTTTTTGCAGTGCATACTTTTGCTCATTACACTTGATGACAATTTAGTTGGACTGTTGTACGTTTGAACAGAGTTACAGAAATACACAACCAGGATTTAATTCAATATCTCCTGAGAACATTAGTTTTTTGTGATATTGTTAATTGGCAATATAATGCCTGCAGCCAGAGTTTTGACTGTTTAAAGTATTTATACTGTATAAATGTATATAATAAAATATGTGGTATTTAGATAGATAGATAGATAGATAGATTTAATAAAATACTTCGCAGCCATAGGCTGAATTGCGTATTTTTTTTACAAGTAAATTTAACTAATTACGAGAATATAAAAAAGAGTTTATCAAGCCATTATGATGACATTCCATATAAATATTATATATACAAGATGTTTATTACTTTAATATATTAAAAAAGTTAAAATTATTAAAAATATTAGGTCATTTCAATAGCATTAGATAAATGATTTGCGGCACGAAGCCACAAAAAAACTAGTTTGAAAACGATTAGTGTTACATCTAGGAATTTCAAATTTCCTATCGGTTCTTAAATCATAAAAAGAAGTATGTGTAGGTGGCAGTAAACTTCGTAACTTATGATTTTCATCAGCAACTACTGTTTGAAATAAACTAGTACAAATATTTTCATGATGAACAGACAGTGACTCCAATCCACAACTAATTAAAGCGTCTTCGTAATTAGTGTTTGGACAGATGATTCTAATAGCTCTTTTTTGTAATCTTTCCAATTCGGAACGCAAGTATTTTGGCAACGAATAGTAAATGACAGGGATACCATAGTCGATAACAGATCGAATACATGTAACATAAAATAGAACCAGATCATTCCGAGGAATACTGGCCCGTTTGAGTTGGATCAGGTAATAGATTCGTTTGGATACTTTTTTAACTACCTCTTCGATATGTAGATTCCACGTCAGGTTATTATCGAAAGACAAGCCCAAAAGTTTAACGGATTTTACGACTCTAATACTTTTATTGTTAATAAGTATCGGGTTAAAATCACGAGGGACTTTTGAGAAGGAAATACGGAGCTCCTTACATTTCTCTTCATTCAGCTTCATTTTATTGTTTTGGGACCATTGTGACATCTCATTAGCAATTGTCTGTGCTCTACTCTGTTGGTTTTTGTCAACTGTTTCCGATACTGTCGTATCGTCCACGTATTTCCATAAGTCAGTATTTGTGATAGATAAATCATTTATCAGGATTAAAAAGAGCCATGGACCTAAAATGGTGCCTTGAGGGACGCCCGAAGGTACTACACCCCAATCTGAAAAACATCCTTGTGAAAGTTTGACTCTTTGGAATCTGTTACTTAAGAAATCAATAATCCAATTTATAACACTTCGTGGTAGATCTAACTGAAGTAGTTTATTGAACAAAATTCTGTGATCAATTAGATCAAAAGCTTTTTGGTAATCGAATAGAATGATTCTAGTTGTAGAACCGGTACCATCAAGCCCGGAGGTCCAGTTATGCACCATACTAAGAAGAGCAAAAATCGTCGATGATTTAGGGATTGCTCCATACTGATTGGGGTCAATTTTCTTCAAAACAGCTGGTTTCACATACTCATTAACAACGAAATGCTCTGCAACCTTCGAAATATTAGGTGTTAATGAAATGGGCCTAAGTTCTTTTTTCAGGTCCTGTACTATTTTTACTTTTGGCAGCGGTGAAACATTCGCAAGTTTCCATATTGCAGGTAGGCGTTGTTGTTTGTAGGATGCATTTAGGAGTAGACTAATTGGGAGGGCAAGGATTACAGCATACTCTCGCAAGAGCCAATTGGGCACTTCGTCAGGGCCACCACTTTTACTGGGGTTGAGTTTTTGTAGCTGTGATAAAACCCTTTCTTCAGAAACTTCTAAGAAGTCTGGGTTTTCCTCTAAGTTAAGTCGTTCTAACGGTGAAGATAGTTGATATTCTGATAAGGGCTCAAGAAAAGCTGTATTTATTCTGTTTGCTAGTTCTTGTTCCGATATATCTTCAAAACCAGCGATATTTATCAAATTTATTAGGGAGCTGTTCATTGATTTCATTCCTCCTAGGCGTTTGATTTCACTCCACCAAGCTTTAGGGTTATCTTTTTCTTTACTGTGAACCTGGGTCGTATAGTATTTTGATTTATACGCTTTTCTCTCGCGATTGACAATATTTCGGTAATATTTAAAGCAGTTGGATTTTGGACCGTAACTGAAAAAGGCTTCTTGTCTTTTTTTTATAAATGTTTTCAATTTATCGGTCATCCAAGGAACATCTGCAGAGATTTTCTTAATCCGTTTAATTGGCATGAGGAGGTCAAGACCAATAGCTACAATGTCATAAAAAAAATTCGCCATATCTTCACAGCTTTGTGATTGAGCAAAAATTTCAGGCCAAAGGATTGATTGTAAAAATCTCCCCATGGCATCTTTCTTACTCTTAACGAAGGTCTCGTTTGTATACAAATGTAGGTTTTGCTTTCTTCACAATGTGAGTGGGTGAAACTACAACTGTGTTGTGATCAGATAATCCAATTGGAGGGAGTATTTGCGGAGACTTGTAGAACTCGTGCATATTAGTTAATATTAGATCAAGTATTGCTTCGCCTCGAGTTGGTGATTTAACAATTTGTTTCAACCGAAAATGCTTAATTATATGATTCACATTAAGACGATTGAAATCCCCAGCAATGATAATACCGCAGCTGTAAAATTTTGCTTCGACTTCGCTCAGTGTCTGAAATAAGTGACTCTGCATGCTGAAATCGTCGGCACTGGGGGGGTGGTATAGGACGGCAACTATGATTGAGGAAAATTCACGAGGAAGTCGTCTAGGTTTTAAATGAAGCCATAAGATTTCGTGTTCGGAACAACATGAAATTTCTGAAAGGATTTTGAGTTTCGTATCACCGTCTCTGATATAAATACAGATTCCGCCATGGTTGTTTATAGATCTATCTTTGCGTATGATTGTAAACCCAGGTATGCTTACAACGCTATCTGTAATTGAGTCATTGAGCCAAGTTTCAGTTAGAAAGGATAAGTTTATCTCATTTTCCATCATGAATTCGCGGACTTCGTCTATTTTAGGGGCCAAAGATCTCACATTAGTCACCATTAATTTTGGAATAAAATTACTAATCCTCTGTTTTAATGTAGTGGTATTAAGTTGATGGAGTTCTGTAGTAAGGGGCTTACATGGCAGTGTACAGTTATTTGGAAAGTCAACAGATTCGTTTAATAATGACTGGGTGGTCTTGTTGGGATGTCCATCAGGGGAGGCATATAAGGGTAGTTTACGTGGGGATAAAAAAAAGGGTGTCTCATAGTATTTAGGTGACTTTGAAAATGATATGGAGTTTGTCCGTAAAACGGGGGTGGAAAAAATTGTTGTTGGTGTGGTTGAAAGGACTGTTGTGGTTTAGCGTGGGAGAAATCACATTTCAAACCCTTCAGGCAATGACCCTTTCTGCGTAAAAAGGGACATGGAACGTGAGATTTAGGGTTTTTTGTGTGTCGGGGGAACCTATCTTGGTATGGAGCGGGTATTTCGTTCCTACCCGCAATTTCTTCTGAAACATTATCGGTTCCAGCGTTATTTAGATTTTCCGCGCCAACGTTGTTTTGATCAGATATCTCGATTATACTAATGTCGGGGGCGTTGGGATTAGTCGTTTCATTAATTTCTTTTGTTTGGGCATGAGTTAAAATATGCATATCGGTGGCAGGTTTGCCATTTCGATTTTTAACTAACTTTCCCCCATTTTCAACTGATTTTTCACCTTTACTCTGGCCCATAAACTCAACTAATTGTTCAACAGTTTGAGACAAAGTTTGTATAATTTCTCTGTTGATTTCTTGACCCGATTTTAGTTCCTCAAAGTCGAAAACAACATCAGCACATGGACAAGACGACTGCCGCGGGGTATCTACATTCGTCTGGCATGAAATGTCCGAACTAACTACATTTTTAACACTTGAATGTAGACTATTCAAAATCTTTTTACATAAATGTTGATACACTTTACTCATTTCGTCGCCTTCAATCTGCAAGAGACCTTTGCTTTTCTCCACGAGATCAAACTGTCATTAAACTTAAACACCTTTTTGTCGCCGCCGGGATGTTCCCAAGTGCCGTCTAGTTTTAGATCATCAGCGATTAACAACTTCAATGAATCAAAATCTCCAGTCCAGGCAAAACTTATATGATCAATAAATGAAACCATTCTCGTCTCGAATAAAATTTTCGTAGTTTTAAAAGCGAGCGAATCGGGCGATGGATCAAATTTCACTCGTGTAGCGGAGCACAAAATACACGTCTGCTCTGTTCTCCTGTGTCTTAAATTAGAGCAAAGTTTAAGATGTTATCATTTGGCTACTTACCAGATAAGGATAAGTTTCCATGTTGATAGATAACTTTGGAATAATATCATAAGTAGAATGGTGAAAACAAGACAGCCAATTCAAGGTAAAATCAACTAATCAAGACATTTTGAAGCCAAAATATGGCAAAGAATAACACGAGTACACGACTTACACGCAACACGAGGCCAAACTACGCCCATTCGCAGGTTAGGTGCGAGCACGATGTAAACAATTGATGTAAGCTAATCGCTGATTGGCTTAATTACATAAGCTCGTCGCTGAATGGCTATGGGTAACGTTAATACACCGGCAATGTATTGATATATGTTCATACCTGCGAGTTTTTTTTATTATAAAAGTGTATTTTCCCAATTTAGATTGGGTGGGTGGGTCATGAAATAAATTTGGTAAGATTGGATGGGCTTTGAAATTTTTATCTACATCTTAAGATGGGTCACCAAACTTATTGGCAAAATTTGTGATTTACCTCCAGCCCACCCTAGCAGTTACTTTATGACCAGTCCCTAATTCTGTTCAAAACAACAGTCCAACTAAGTTGTCATCAAATGTAATATTAGAGCAAAGTTTAAGATGTTATCAGTTAAAATATTTATATATTTTGGCTTTATACATTAGAGTTAATAACAATTAGTATCCACCTTCCCTCCTCATTACATTGTCATTTTGCTTTCTAACATAAATGTTCTTGTTTAGAGATTAATTAATACAACAATGATGAATAAATGTTGTCAAAACAACCCACTTGCAAGACAATCTTACCTATAAATCCATTAGTATGGCTATAAGAAAATAACTTAACAGTTACAATAATCATATATCAAATGGATCAGATCAATGACCCACAATGTATACAAAACTAAACTTGTGCTGCCTTCTACACAAACCGATTTTCTCCACAACACAAATTGTTTTTGTGTAGATATACTGTAGGCTGTGTTATATCGAACAGTGTGGTACATCATTAACTGTGCACAGGCTGACTGGAATTGAATTTTATACTTCACTTAGGACCTTCAAAGCATTCTCTACTGTTCAGTGGTCTTCGATATATGATTGACTTATTTGTTATACAGTAATGTATTTTCCTCGAATAGGCTGTGTATCTTACTCGACAGTTGACATTGGCAAATGTAATCCATATAGTGTATTAACAATTGACGGAACATTTGCATATGATTACAATATAGCTTTGAAAAATGTCAAAATGCTATGAGTATGGATTGACAAGTGACACCATCTGCTATCCTGAACGTCTCAAATGTTTTGCATATTGTGATGATGCAGATGACATTTCAAAAATGAAAATTAAAGCCCAGCAAAACAGCTGAGAAATTTGTTGCGCATGCGCCAGAATAATCAAAATTTCCATTGAAACTTTGAAGATTTTCCCGAAGAATTATAATAGCGAGACGCTCGCGATTGTTGCATATTTTTGAATGCCTGTTTAATCTTTATACTTTTTTTGCTTGAGACAAAGAGAAAGTAAAATATACTCTACGTTTCCAGTGTATAGGATATCTCGTTTGAACAGCAATAGAATAATATAATCGATCTTGACAAAAACAAGAAGACATTTGACACGCTAAATCTGCATGCAGTCATGGCCCGAAGAAAGGCCAATCGTCGCGAGCTTGAAAGCCTTGTCAAACGCAGAACAAGTACAAATTTGGGTTCAAACAGAAAGAAGTTCAATGTTAATACAACTAACATCATTCTATACAAATACGCCGGGTGATTTCAAATGAATTTTCAAAGCTTTTATTTATCGATATGATAATCAAACCGTGAATATGCTGGCTTTTTAATATTGACGCACAAGAGCAGTAAAATGCATGCATTGCAAAGCGAAATAAGACGCAAAGGGGCAATTTTTGAACAAAATTTATTGTTAAATTATGTTTCCTATGTGCCTTGCGAAAAAAAAAATTGAATTTGGAGGAATCGGCAATTGGTTTTGCAATTTGGCCTGGTATTGCACCCTACCTATATGTACTGACTAGTGCTGCAAAAGTAATCAAATATAATATTTATAATTTCCCTTCACTGAAAGGATCTACTATTGTGGACTAAACTAAATTTTAATCAGCATAAAAGGCTGCAAACAACAGCCAAGAATTAGCTGGGTAGTTTTCAAACTTTAAAAATAATTGGACCTCAAACGTTTATCTCCAAAGTATAACAAATAGCCAATACTGCGAACATAATCCAAGTTTTGATCACTAGGGGCAATTTTTAGATGTGAATAAACTTGTTTAAGTTACATATCAAACAAAGGCAAAACAAAATTTGGTATTAATTTTTTGGAGGAAACGTCAAGGTTTTTTGCTATCCGCCCATGCTTCTACACCCCCTCTCCCAGGATATTCTATCTCAAAAAAACTGTTTTCTACAGAAACTATGTATTTATCGGGAAAATCTTTTACTTTTCTCAAAAATACTTTATAAACACGGAAACCTTGAATATTTAAATAATTTTCATATTTTTTTGGGATTGCAAAAAGCAAAATTCGATTCATTATATATCCCCCATTTAAAGTTGCTTCAAAATCACGATCACGAGTAGCATGTTTATTTTTTTTCATCCTTTTGACTGAATAAAGTTTATCTTTTTGAAAAGATATTTGTATTATAGCTCTTGTTTACCGGTTTACGTTTATGTCGATATTGGCATCCACGAGACCAACAAGTTGTGGTAATCCGCGAATGAAAATGGATATTCGTTGTGCACAAAAGCCAACTCCTAGCTATGTAACTTCATTGTCCGAATTTTAAATCAATCCACAATTAAAATGCTGATAATGTAGATGCTTAAGATGTTAGTGAGGTTTTTCCTACAATTTAATTTCCATGATCGCCGTCTTAAAAATGCAAAATCGTAAGTTGAAATTTCACTCGTGTTGTTTTTCAAATTTTTGTAAAATATCACGTGCGCCAGCAATTTCTCTGCTAGCAACAACAAATTTCCCAGCTATTGCCCAGCAAAACAGGGTGGACTTTCGTCGACGCTGCATGAAAATAGTGCGGGCTCGTGGGGTTTTTCCAGCAAATTTTGCTTTTCGATGTTTTGCTTACAATTTCTAAGGATGTTGAAGTTTACAGCATTGTGATTCAGTGGTTTTTGAAAGCATCGGGGGTTTTTTCGTTGGAACTTGCAGCCTAACTCTTCAACAACCTAATGACTGTTTTTAAAGCAAAGCAATTGAAAGGAAAACTTATATTTTCATACGAAGAAGATGAGTGGCGACATTTATGTTGGACTGTTTTGAGCAGATGCTTCGAAGAACATGATATAATCGGACCTTGTATCTTAAAAGTGTACTTGAAACAGCCGAACAAAGTGGTAAATTTTGTTACCCGGTGTGTTGGGCATCATAATTCACAGGAATAGTGCACAGCAGGGTTTAAACTGGCTATGAAATATCCTGAATACTTCGTCGAGTTCTCTACCGCCATGTGACCTGTAGTTTTATAATGTGACACGCGTCTTTGAAAGGGCTTTACTTGACTTTAATCGATGTGTAAGGTATAACTTAGGTAAGCCAACATTTCTTTGTAAGCAAGCTACATTTTCATATCTTTAATGTGTGAATATTTTTAATTTTGTAAAAAATTAATCGCAATATGTTGTTGGAAAAAGTATCGAGTACTTCATAATAACGCTCAGATCTTGTATACAGATATTCGTATTTTATTCAAAGTCTACCCTTTATCACCACTTTTTTTATTCTTTTATGTTAAAGTATACATAATCCTTGACTTAAAAACACGATGATCTACTCGAGGAAAATTGGGCAAAGGGGCGATCTTTGCAGAGAAACTTGACCGTTTGGTGTAATTGGTAGTTCAGAGACCCTATTTTCATTGTAGTATTTCGTGGCAATTTGTTGGCCGATTTCTAGTTTATATTGTAGAACGGGTTCCTAGTGAGTTAAATTAATTGTCTATCCTCTACAGAATAGTAATAAGCGCGACTCCTTTTTGTTGACGGATGTTGAATTCATTTTAGACTTTTGTTCATAAACAACAACTACACTACCGAGTACTAAATCACTGTTTGCAAAGAAATGAGCCTATATCACCACAAAAATTCAAGCTTATTTTTAGAGTCAAATAGTGTCTCTATCGACAAAAGTAGTTTTTATGGAGTGAAAAATAGGGCAAGTACGAATTTAAAGAAGGTCAATTTGCACTTGTATATCTCACTTCGAAAAGGATATACATATTAAAAACAGGTATATTTGCACTGCGAAATTAAACTGCTGCAACAAAGTTTTTATTTCTACTTTCACGTTCTTATTCCAAAGCAAATACTTCTAAGTTGGAAATGCCTAAAATTGTGAGCGTAGAAACACTAAAGAAACAAGAAAACGACTTCATAACACGAGTAGTTTTTGCAAATTTGATCAGGTTTGTTTTTATAATTCAGTCACGCGATTAACCCGCGCTCACGTGCACTCCACGCTTACGTTTCTCGCGCATGCGTAGACGGAAGTCCACCCTGTTTTCCTTGGGTGTAAATAGCTGGGCTTATAATAAATTGTATAATAGTTGCTAAGTTTGCATGGCGCCATATGACGTCACTGTCCTGACTAAATAATTTGTAAATCAATTTAGGTTTGTTACTTTTCAATTGAAGTAGTATAGTACCTGTACATACACTATTAGCTCGCCATAAGATCAAGTTATTATATAAAACAATGTCTATAAAATGTTGCGAAATGTTTCTAAACGTGGTCATCGCATCCAGGCTATCACAGAGTGTAATTTTTTCAATCCTATGTGCGCTATTTGTTTTGATAAGAGACGGGGTTCATCTCACTGTGATAAAGGGTAAGTATTGCTATAGGGCCGTGTGGGTTTAATTTGGTTTAGTGTGATGTGTTCACTCCGAGGTGAACGGAAAGCTTTATGGCAGGTTTAAAAACTCGGTTGGTTAATAGTTATGACTTCATTGAATGTTTGCATATGGCGAAAAACAATATTATTTTTTATTCTGTGAAAAACATTACTACTTTATATATTTATTACTACAAAGCGGCTAAATCGTTTCACATGCAGGGGCATGAAAATTGTGAAAATTCTCATGCAAAGTCTCGCTTCTCAACTCTCACCCTCTTCATCCTCGTTTGACCGGGACTTCACTCAAAAGGACAGTACATATAAGAAATCAATACGTTTAATCCCTCTTATATATGCTTGTGCTCGCGTCGTTTTTTCGTGAGGACCAAGCTTGAAAGAGAGGGAGCATGCTGTTCTTTTTCGTCACCTGTACTTTTCTTTGTGGTGTTATTGTATCTATCAGGTTTGTTAGTTAACAGAGTTATGTTAGGTAAAAACGCGCTGGCAGAACATAAAGAACATGGCCAACGCTTTAGGGCTACTTTCCAGTTAAAGCGTGCACGCACGCACGGTAAAGTTTAACTGACACGTTCAAAAGCTTTTATGAAATAATTAATTAATAAAAGGACATAATATAGTTAGTGTTGTGTATGATTTAAAGTATATTTGTTCAGGTAATTAGTATACTTCTATAAAATTCACAAAGATTTAAACTTTTCCATGAGAAGCCTTTTACTCCGCCGATCAGCATATTTTCGTTACGAGACATGCAACAAGAAATTAACGAGTGAAACACGCGTTTAAAGGCATGCTACACCAGATAATTTTTGCACAACATGGGACGCATGCAAAGAGTTATTGAAGTTAAAAACGTGTTCACGGCGTAGGAAAATTATGCGCGTGACGTACAGTTCGCTCTGTCGATGTTCTTCGCTTGAGATATCAAAGAGGCAGAGCCGAGAATTAAACTAATCAGTGGAGTTAAAGGCGGGTCATGTTTGATAAAGCAATTTTTGCTGCATGCATCATACATGCATCATGCATGTTCACAAGCAGGCATGTGAGCATGTATATGCATGCTCACATAAGACAAATATAATTATAGTAAAACCATGCAGTTAATAACAGTACTGAACTTCACAGAATTATCAAATATATCTATGTTAGAAATATGGTTTGTTTCTATTTAAGATTTTTTATATATTCTTATTTATTAGTTTATAAACCTTTATCATTTGCGCACTTTTATACAGCAGTGACGGTGTCGGAAAATACGTTTAAAATTTGCATAATTATATACCTGTTCCACATGCTGTCACGCATAGGTTCGTTTTTAAATTGACTACTTATCTATAACCGGTATATTAGACATAAAAAAGTATAAGAGAATGTTCCGTTTCTGGTCAGTTTAAATTTGACGCAGTGACGCTGTTGCTGATTTTCAATGAGAAAAAAAAGTCTACGCGCAGAGTCAAGAATGCATGACGTGCGCGTCCCTTAAAGAAAATTAAATACTCAGACCTATGCATAATTTAAATAAGTATAATATTAAACCTTTTTTTTAATTGCTTCAAATGGGTTGGAATTTAAGATCCTCAATTTCAACGCAAGACAATTTCAACGCAAGACAATAAACAATAAAGAAGAGAGTAATAGCCTGTGTCAATTTAAATGCAAATGTCTTATTTAAATATTTTCATAAACAGTTTGCATCACATCGCACCGATGACCTGCTGTAGCAGTATTGGCTGCCTGCGTAATTAATTTTAAATAATATAGAAAGAGTTACTTAATTCTCTGACGGAGGTTTCCGAGTGCCTTCTTCTGCAGGGTGCAGTATAAATAGAACATGCACAGTTCGAAAATGTCCGCCAAACAGCAAATCTTTTGAAAACTTTATGCATGCATGGGTATAGTTTGGGGTCTGCTAATTTACCACTAAAATTACTATGTAAAGTAAATTTTCGAGTGCAGATCGAGGGTTGTTTAAAAATCACTTTAAAAATGGCTTGCGCGCAAAAATGGAAGGCTTAAAACGCAATTTGAATTCATAGGGTGCAAATTTAAAAGGTGTTTTATGAACTATCAAAAAGACCAGACAATTTGATGGACATTTTAAAAATGTCCAACGCGCGACCTGTAAAACTTGGACTTTCTTTGCCATAATAGCCTTTCACGCATAATTTTTAAACTTTTTGTAAAGAAACGAATCAATCATTCATAAAATCAACCATGCATATAATCAGCCTTCCATTTTTGTGCGCATGAAGCAATTTTTAGAGTGGGTTTTAATTAAAAACAATTAAACCTTCTGCACTCGAAAATTTACATTTCAAAATAATTTTAGTGGTGAAGATACTAGCAGACCCCAAACTACCCATGCTTGCATACATTTTTCACAAATTGTAGAAATTTGATACACCTTGTATAGAGCTGCTATCACAGAGTAGACACATACAGAGCTGTAACTGGCCGTTGTAAACACTGCGGAAACTTACGTTTTCATGTACCCACTTTTTTCAGGCGACCGGACAAAAAAATGATCAACTGCGCGTGCTCGGCAAGTTCCGCGAGCAGTTAAAGCGAGCCACCATCCAATGGGATGCATGCATCTAGTAACTTGTCGAGCACACGCACAAAAAAGTGGGTACACTTGTATAACTCTGCATATGTATCTACTCAGTGCTGCTATCCTCTCACTATACATGAGACAAACGAACTCGCATCGCACCAAGTTACAAACGCTACAAACATTCAAGTTTAAAAACAACAAGGGGGGTATAGTTACTGTAGAAGAACTCACCAAGTGTTTGTGCGCTATTAAAAATTAATACGTTTGTAAAACAAACTAATGACAGACAATTCATCATATATTCCAGGTCATGGTAATTCATGCGATATTATCGAAGCAAAACCGTTAAAAGGTTGGTCACGCACAAATTATTGGAGAGTATAGTTCAGATTTGTAGTTCCACTACCTCTCAGCCATTAGGACGCATCTGATTGGTTAATGCATGATGGGATAAACGCATCTGATTGGTTAATAATCCCTTAATGGCCAAATCTGACTCCTCTCTATCCTTCGGAAGCGGGTTCTTGCATGTTGATGGAAACGTATCTGGTGGGCATGCCTTTAAATCTCTGTGACACATGTTCAATTGGTGCTTTACTTAAGTTTACTTTATTTGTTGAAATAAAGTTATTTTTGTCCCAAGAAATCATTTTGCGTTTAACCCCCTCCCCCCCTGTACGCAAATGTGTATATGCATCAATATTTACTGGTTGAGTCAGTTTTCTTTGATGTACCGCGGGATGAATACAGGTTATAACCCGTGAATAAATAATTGGATTAAACTTCTCGACAAAACTCGAAAAATCTTTATGGATAGTCTTTGAAATTGACGAAATCTTGTTCGAATTCGAAAACCTCCTCAACTAGTAAATAAGAAGTTGGGATATAAGTTATATATTTCTGAATGGATACCCCCTATATAGCACAATCAATTTCCCTATACGATTCGAATGCCTTTGTTCTTTTAAACAGGAAAGAGATACGATGTGCCAACTATGCAGACGTTTTGTGTCAGGCTGAGTGGAGAATGTTTCATAAGATGCAGAGGCAATTCAGAATGTCAATCATTTGGTATTGGTGTTGTTGATGAATGCCTTGGACAACTACAGTGTCGCTTATATTCTCAAAGAACGGTGGAGAGAAGCGATCTTGCTAATGATAAGAAGTATACTTATTATATCCTGGTGAGTTACAATAAACGCATTACATTTTTCGATTAAAATTAGTCTATAATGGGAATTGTCCATTGATTCAGACGCCGCTCTTCTGTTCGCAGCGAGTGACGTCGTCACCCGTATAAGCATGAGACATCCACAATCGCTAAATTACATTCTTATCTAGACATTAATTACGAGTTTTCGCCACATTCTCATTGCAGTTATATTAAACGTTTGAACATCTTTATAGTTATATATTTGATACGCCCAGCCATTGGGCTGCCTATAACCAATAATGATAGCTATGTATGATGATAATATTAACTAATAATGATAATAAATACTGCAAGAGATATCCGAACATTATGGTCTATGGAGAGTGAAACTAGAGTTATACCTATTGTTATATTATAGCTTTTCTTGTTTGAGCATTTTTCAATGAGGTATCAGCTCCAGGATAGATTTTAATGCAGAAATCAATGTTGATTGGCACAGCTACAAGATTCTTAAAGCTAGTTTACATGCACTATCAAAAATTCTCATTTATTATTGTCCCATATATAGTTTAAGCAGCGCATTGTTTATTCTATGTCGATTTTACTTAGGAAGCACCAACGTGCTGTGAAGAACCTTGTACCAACAATAAAGTGTGTCGGCCTTCAACGTGCAAATGTGTTTGTCCAGATGGATTTGGTTCAAATCGTTGCATGTGTCCCGACCGTAAGTATTCGCGTCCAAGGTGCCCGCGTTCCAATTACGAATGCGTTCCGAATATTTGTTCAGGGCGCGCTTCGATTGCGTTGCAAGAAAATTTTTAGAGAGCTGTTAAGATATTCCGGTTCCGGTTTATGGGTACGGGTGATATACACGTACCAATAAATAGGGTACGATTTAAACTTAACAAATCCAAGATATTCCAGGGTATACGAAAACCCATCGGAGAATAGTAACTTTCGTTATCGAGGTTTACCATAGATTTGGGAGAAATTTGACGATCGAGCAAATGTGCATTGATTTATTTAGGTAAGATGGTGATTGTTGAAGTATTTTACTACTTAAACGCCCTACAAATAGTGAACAGAAAACACCCGTTCCCGTTTGTCTTTTACGTTTAGACCATGGTTTACCGCGGGGAAACGGGTAGATTTATTTATTTAAAGGACACAAAATTGAGAAAATGTTCTGATATTTGGACATTAATAAAACACATGACAAATTTCTCGCCCATGAACTCAAAATGCGTTTAACTTCTATATTCATCAAAAATTTCATGAAATGAACGGATATGTAAAATCGAGAGCCGTTTCAAAATTGTCTACTTTTTTTTATACATATACCCTGTATAGGCATGACTATACTTAAAAAAAGGTATTTGGTTTTGGGATACTTAATTTAAACTTACTGCCTCTCACGTTGTAGTCATGAATTTCATCCATCTTAGACAAATAGTATGTCATGATCAGATAGGAATTAGGTGCCCATTGTTATGTTTGCCAGGCTTTGGTAAAATATCGACGGCATGCATCTTTTTGTCTGATCAGGTATTAAAATTGCGAGGGCTGAGAAGGCAGTAATTATAAAATTCCGCATGTAAGAACCTGGACCTATCCAGTCAACTCTTATCAACTCTCATGCAACTCTTGTCCTCGTTTGACCGGGGCATGAGAGTTGAGAAAACTCTCATGCAAACTCTCGCTTCTCAACTCTTATCCCTGTACCTGATTTCAGTTATAAAGAGCAGATATTACTGATCAAATATGCAAGAATTACCTATTCACCCTGACCTGGAAAATAGCAGGTTCTCATACGCGTGATTTTATTGTATTGTCACTGCATGTGTGCGACATCTAGCAGATAGCGTAAGATCTAGTTTCTTTCAGACAACATGAGCAGAGTTTTCGACAAAGATTCGCCAGTCATGCTGCCTGGCGTGATGAAACAGGTCGAGAGTGGAAATCAAACATGGGGAGTGACAGACGACCAGAAAGTGTGGGTTTTACGCAATGATGATACATGGCAAATGTTAGGACAAGATAAGTTCAACTATATCTCAGTTGGCAAAGCAGGTGTCTGGGCTTTGGATGCACTTAATGATGTTTTTGTGAGAAAAGGTAAATTGCAAGACTCTCTAGGATTAGGGCACGAATTACGGCAAAGAAGTGTAGCCCCCCCTCCCCCCCACAGGATGTGAACTGGCGCTCCTAGTTAGATCTAAAATTGTATCATAATTTTTCGCTCGTAATTTTTATCTACCAAAAAGCCCTTCGACTGCTATATTAATAATAAAAGTTTTCTTATTATATTAAGGTACAGACACTCAGAACCCCTTTGGAACAGGTTGGACGCTCGTTTCATCTCCATCTCAAAAACTGGTTCAGATCGACTCGGGCAGTTCTGGCGTGGTATATGGTGTCACTCGAGAAAACCAGATCTACTGTCGGGCTGGTATCACCCAACAGACACTGTCTGGTACCAGTTGGGTTAACGTATCCGGCACAGCTAAGCATGTATCTTGTGGTGATTACGGATGCTGGGCAGTACGGCCTGACAACACTGTCGGCTTTCGTCAGGGAGTCACTGTACAGAATTGTGCCGGGACAGAATGGAATGATTTCTCAGGTAGAAAACGAATGTGTTATTAGAAAAGAACTAGAGGGCACTCAGAGAATGCATGTATTCCTCCGCCAGCAATCATGCGTTTAGTTTATTCGGCCTGGCCATAGATTACGTATGAACAGATGTGGAACTTCAGTAAAAAGTTGTCCGCCATCTTCCCAGCAAGTGTCGCTCGCGTTATAATTCGTCATTTGGCAATACGTCTTGATTTACAAAACTTTAACAACTTTAATTGCTTTCAACAACTTTAAACATTCAACATTGATTGTTTAATAAAAAATGTCGATCCGAAAAGGCCGCAATAAAGTGCAAAAGTTCGTGTGTTTCAGGACACCATTTTTGGATTTCATTTTCATGTCACACAGTCACGAAATATAAGTGGTTAGCAGATTAGGGTTAAGGATTGGGTTAGGATCAAGTTTATTTCGTGACATGAAAAGATAACCTCATTTTGCTAGCATGTGTCATGGCGTGAGCATGACGTGTACATCGATCTAGGGAAATTTGAGGACCCAAAGTCCTATGAAGTTACACATCTGGTATATTCTTAATCTGTGGCCTGGCCGAGCATGACAAACTTTTACCAAGTTTGGCTCATTCCGTTTTCGTCCAAATTGAACAACATTTAATCGATTTTGCCGGAACCACAGAGTATTTTATAATTAATTAATTAAGAGGAGAATCCTTTGTATTTATAGGTAATCATGCGATGGCGAGTACAATTAGGGATTAATAGTACGAGTGATGTTTGGAAATTTTGCCAAAATTGGACGAGCCGCCATTACTTGTTTATTATTAGCATGACAAAATTGGATACTTCTCAATGTTAACATCATATTCTCTCGCCAAAGCCCAGTCCTGCCAGATTTTCAACCAAAATTTGATGCTTTTGTCCGTATTTTCATTTAGTTCTTTTGTTAAAGCAAAATTTGGTGCTTTAATTTGTTCGTATTTTCATCTAGTTCCTCTAGGGCAATTTCATTTCACGCTTGTGTTTAAAATACCTTTCCACCATTTTGTTTGTTGTGGGAAAATCATTAATTGTACTGCAGTACAATTAATGAAATAATTGTACTCCTCTCAACCAATCAGCATCCAGTAATTTTGTCATGCTAATAATAAGTCACGTAACACGCGCCCCATCACGCCCGCGGCAACAAAAAATTCACGCATAATTTAACTTTCGTATAAATGATTTCTTTTAGGAAAAGCAGACGTTACACAGTTAGACTCAGGTGCAACAGGCGCTGTATACGCTATCTCCACGAACCACACTCTGCAGAGGCTTAATGGAATATGTTGGAAGATACCATGGGGTACCAAAAATTGGAAAGAAGTTCTACCACGCCCATTTAAACATGTTACTATTGGGGATACACACATGTATGTCGTTGCTGACAACGGAACAGTATGGAAATTCTCATATTAAGTAGTACAGGATGGCCGCAATGATTACCAGAATAACCGTGGTTACGTATCGGTTTGACCAACAGAGACCTTACGATGTAGGAGGGGAACGCAACGACAGCGGCCAGAATAAATCATTCGAATAAACGATTGTAAAGAAAGTTTGTAGACCATTATTGATCGTGTCAATTTAATACTGTTTGGTTAGTTTGAAATAGTGGCTTTATTGTTGAAAAAGTTCGACTGTAGTACTGAGTATATATTAGAATCTATCGACTTGTAAACTATTAAATTTTTGATGTGGTCAACCTAGGAATAGCAATTGGGATATTAGTAGCACTAAACTAGAGGGCACTCAGAGACTGCATACCTCCGCCCGTTACTCGGAAGTGAAACGCAACCTTGGAATTTCCTAAGAAATCCACTTTATAATTCTTAAGCATAAAAGATTTCAGGCCCCCGCGAATTGAAATGGAATAGCTAATAGAACATATTACTGTTGTTGTACTGTACAGTACTTGTAAAATAAAAACTTATTAAGTGTCATTAAATAAATGCATAAATTTTGCTTTATGCACTCGCGCGTGCAGTAATTTTCACAGTTGTGCTATTTTAAATTCCCAGGCAGCTAAAATCTTTTGTCTTTAAAACAATGTCGATTTCTTGGGAAAGTCCGAGGTTGCGTTCTTTTTATACACCCTGTATTGAAGTAATCTAATGTTGTTAGAATTTGAATGGACTGGCACTTTGCTGAACGTAATAATGCGTAACTCCGTAAGCCTTGTTTTAGACATTGAATTTCGGTCGCGTGAAATGCAACTAAGACAATAGATAGTGAAGGCCGAAGCTTAATGAGGTTTATCATCTCATTATTGTCTTAGTACTGAGTGCATAAATTATACACGTCCTAATTACGCATTCAGTAATATTTTTTGTTAATTGACCGGGAAAAGCAAGACAAAATTTTGTTCATTTCTCGTTCAATTTTTAACCAAATTCAACCAAATTTTAATCAGTTCTTCCTTAGCCGATGGGAAATGCATTCAAAAAATTTCGTACGGATATGTTTGGTATTTCTTGAGTTATCGTGCTCACAGACAAACACACACACACACACACATACACACACATACACACACATACACACACACACACACACACACATACAAACCCAGATGATTACATAACCTCCTGGCGGAGGTAATAAGTCTAAATTAGATCTAAACTTGCACTTGTAGCAGATTTAAATCTCTCTTCCTGAGAGTCGTGCATGTAAAAAATAGATTACTGCAGATAAAGAGAAATAAGAAAAATATACTGTACTGTAAAACTAATAAGTGTTCCATAAAGCTAATTTAGTAATACTGGATAAAAAACCGGATGGCCCTTCTATTGAATTATTTCGTCAATTGAAACGGATACCTAGTCATAATATTATAAAAATGAGAAAAATTCTTCTGCTATTTACTGATATTCTAAAATCATCTTGGCCACAAGATTTATTTGTTTTATTTGCTTTCTCGCGGGATTCCCATTGATGTAAACACGAGGTTGTCCGACACTGGTATTATAAGCTTTCTTTGGCCAAAACAAAGTTGAAAAATATCTTATAGTGGTGCAATGCTCTTGAACTCTTTACCTAACGAGTTAAAGAATATTGATGATACTTCACCCTGTTTGTTTAGAACGAAGCTAAAGGAAATTTCGAAACGTCCATTACTGCTCAGAACTGGTTATTAGATTTTATGGTACAACATTTTGTATTGGTACATTAGAGTTTATCGACATGTAAACTATTCAGTTTTTAACTAGGAATAGCAATTGGGATATTAGTAGCATTAGATTAAATCTAAACTTGCACTTGCAGTGGATTTACATCTTCTATTTAATCATATATAAGGCCAAACATGCTATTTCTTCTTGTAAAAACTTAGGTAGGGTAGGTCGGTTTTAACTTTTTTTTAACTTTTTTTTAATTTTCCTAACAACCGGACGCCATTTTGTTTAGTCAGTGCTTCCACATTCAAAGATAAATTTCCCTAATATTGCCTCAAATTTCCATTTTTCACAAACGTTTTCCTCTAAGTGGAAACACTTACAAGCATGATCCAATAAAAAAGTCTAGGGTCGGGATTTCGGCGTCCAAAAGCTAGGTAGGGTCGGGAAACCGTAAACCCACATATTTTTTTTGGCCTAATTTAAAACGATTTTAAGTCATACTAATAATACTGATACCCAACAATGGCAAAACAGCTATACAGCGTGTTATAATAACCAAAATGTCAAATTCATATTTACATAGCTATGTACATCAAGTACTATGGAAGATCATTATAGCTTTCACGATTTAACGGTTCATGGTCAACAATTGCTTTCAGCATGAAAGTTGCAGGCCTTGATGTCTGAGCCAAGTCAAGAATGGAAGAGGTTGTTTCGCTGGCCTCAGAGTGACAAAACGCAACAAAGCAACGGTTTTACTAACACTAGCCCTATTCCAAACTCTAATCCTAATCCTAACCCTAACCTTATTCCAAGTTTGTTTCTAAACCAATCTTGAAGAAAAAAGTTTTGACGAAATGTCATTCTGAGGTCAGGGAACTAACCTTCCCGTATAAAATGCGGAGATTTTTAAAATTTTGCAAACCACAGCTATTTTGTTAAACCACCGTTACTTTTTTTCAAAGCTACCGCTTGGAACCCAAGCATCATTATTTTTGCGGAAAAACCTTTAATACTGGCAAATGGATCAGTAAATGATCCACAATAATCATCATCATCATTAATGATCATCATTATCATTAATAATCATTAATGATATCATGATCATTAATAATGATCATAATTAATCATCGTCATTAATGATCATCATCATCATTAATGATCATAATTAATGATCATTAATGATCAGGCAATGATCACCATCATAATTTTTAAGCATCACCATTTTTTTTTTAAGAACTACCGCTTGCAACCCAAGCGTCATTATTTTTGCGGAAAAAACCTTCAATAAAGGCAATCGAATTCAAATGGAATTTGCTGGGGCCGCTTGTATAAAACTCTTAATCACTTTTTTAATCACTATTTTGTAGTTAAACAGTGATTAACTCTCAAATAGGCGCTTCTTATTGGATGACATTTCCACTTAACTATGATTAACTTTAATCACTTTTTTATACAACCGGCCCCTGGTGGACAAATAATTCGGGTTTACCCTCAACATACGTGTATTGGGCCTTCTCTCTGCACCCTCCCCTCTCTCTTCCACTCTGCCCTATGGAGACCTGACAAAATACAGGTACTAATATGATCAAAATATCGTTATATATCACTTAACTGGTGTGCTTCTCGCGTAACTTGGTCTTTCTCTTCTCCACGTGACATGCGCCATTGACTCCTGGTTTGAAATCCATCAATCTCACACGTGGAATACTTATATCATCAAGGTGAGTGATATCTATTGAAAGAAAGTGGTAAAATTGTTGTCGTGTTGTTCTGTTATCAGAGAGGCTCAGATCTGACTTCCACTAACGCTAGCGCTAGTGATTGGTTAATCGGAAAGATCAAACGCTTCTGATTGGTTAATGGTCCCTTAATGGTAGTAATGGCAGCAGTAGTGGAAGTCAAATCTGAACCTCTCTACTTACAGTTGATTGCATTCATGCATTGTAAGTTCCATGCTGAAACTGGTAATACATTTTCTTTTCCTTACCAAAATTCAAACTGTGATAAAACATTCCACAGTTACGATCGCCACCACTATTATTCTTTGTCTGAGACGTTTTGGCCACAACACTTTTATCTGGAGTTGGAGAAGACTCTGATATACAGTCCTCAAAGCTTCTACCACCCATAGATTGCTGGGCAGTTCTTTTCTTCCTTCTGCGAGTGTTTTTCGGAACTTCGTCTTGAGTGGCATTTTTCCTTGATATCGTTTGATTCTCTGAATCCTTTGGTGTTGAAGTACAAATCCTGTCGCTTGTACTTGATCGTTCAGAACGACCTAATGATTGATGATTAGTTATATTAACTGTACGATTGTCTCCCAAACACGGCACGAGTGTGATCCCAAGTTCTGTAAAAGAGATGAGATTAGTGTTTTAGGATATCCTACAGTACATTCAAATCTGGAGATAGTAAGTTCTATTTTTTCACATGATATCTCAAACGTGAGGGTCGTCCATCGGTATAGGTAGTATTCTACAATATAAACTGGAACGATCTCACGGTCTTTGACTGCGTAGGTAGTGACACTAGACTGATTTAGAACATGAAACGCGCATGCACCTTCGAAACAAATTCACTTTTCTAGCGAAACAACAGTTTGAATAATTTGTGGTCCCAAGAGTATCTTCAACAACGTTGTCATTCTAAATACAACGTTAAACTAAGATTTTCACGTCATTGGAGAAACGTGAATGCTGGAGATGTTACATAAAATCCATAAAATCTGTCTCATAACAGGCACCGCGGCCGGATCGTTTTCCCGGACTTCTGCCGTTTGTAAGGTTGTTTAAAAGGCTTTAGTAGCATGCTCAGGGCAGCCGAGAGGGGGGCAGGGAGGCAAATTGCCCCCGGCCCCCAGTCAATTTTTTCGGGCGGCCCCCAGTCATTTTTTCGGGCGAAATATTTCTGTTTTTCGGGCAAAGTACCGAAATTTTGTATGAAATTAGTTGGGGAAAATTAGTTGTCCGAAAAATTCTTTCCCAAATTCTTTCCCCGAAAAGCTCTCGGCGGCCCTGAGCATGCTAAAGGGTCGCAGGACGAAAGGCCTTCGCTCGAAACATCGAAGCATTTCTTGTATTTTTCGGGTAGTTGAATCCCTCTCATTCGCAGTATTCTGCAATAAGCTGCCATGGTTTATGCCTGAACTACCTGAGAAAGATATCTCAAACGTGGTGGTTCAGTGTAGGTAGTATTCTACAATAAGCTGCCGTGGTTTTTGTCTGAACTACCTGAAAAAGATATCTCAAACGTGGTGGTCCAGTGTAGATAATAATATTCTACAATAAGCTGCCGTGGTTTGTCAGAACTCCCATTCGCAGGCTAAAACCCATAGAGAGGCCTGCGGAGGAGGCTATGTCAGAACTGAACTACCTGAAAAAGATATCTCAAACGTGGTGGTCCAGTGTAGATAATAACATTCTACCATAAGCTGCCATGGTTAGTTATGTCTGAACTACCTGAAAAAGATATTTCAGTCGTGGAGGTGCAGTGTAAGTAGTACTCTACAATAAGCTGGCCTGGTTTGTGTCTGAACTACCTGAAACTGAAAGATATCGCAAACGTGGTAGTCCGATGTAGATAATAATATTCTACAATAAGCTGCCGTGGTTTATGTCTGAACTACCTGAAAAAGATATCTCAAACGTGGTCGTCCTGTGCAAGTAGTATTCTACGATAAGCTGCCGTGGTTTGTGTCTGAACTACTTGAAATCTAAAGTATACTAGTATACTACTCAATTTAATAAGTATCTCAGAAAATCTGAGGGAATGTAACAAAATTGGGCAATTCTATCCTGAAGTAGAATATGGTTTCTGGCGACTGGACTGGTGTGAGGATTTCTTGCAATGTTCATTTGTTAAACAATGCCTATACTGGTAACTGGCCCAACCTTTGAAATAAGCACTGATATCCTACCATCTAACTCTTTCCAAGGGAAAAGTACACTGTTCATTAAATCCATATTACTGACAACCTCCTGCTTCGCAGCCGGTATGACAAAGTCTGAATGGAAAACTGCCAAATGCCCTGCGAGGTATTCTTTGCTTTTAAAAATTCTATAAAAATACAAGTAAAATGATGTAATATAAATTATCTAAAACAAAAAATCTAGAGATGGGTATTATTTAGACTTGCTCCAAGTCTCTCTTTCATTTTCATATCGATCCACTATAGTGTACATTACATGACGTAGCACGGAGAGGCGGAGCGAGAAAGAGAGACTTGTCAACTTCGGAAAATCTCGGTTCAAAACTGAACCGAAAATGCAAGACTTGCTTTAATTGTTTTCCTTCAATTTCTTTCTGTATTATTTACTATAATGGAACTCGTGTTATTTACACTGTGCTAGATCAATACATATAAACACTGACAGAAAACAATTAAAGCAAGTCTTGCATTTTCGGTTCAGTTTTGAACCGAGATTTTCCGAAATTGACAAGTCTCTCTTTCTCGCTCCATCTCTCCGTGCTACGTCATGTAATGTACACTAAAGTGGATCGTTACTATATGACAATGAAAGAGAGACTTGGAGCAAGTCTAGGTATTATTCAGCTGTTTGACATGGAATTCAAAGTGTAATGATCTAAAGAGAAAATTTAGACTCTCGCCACATTTCACCTATTGTTTTTTTTTACCACCTTTTGTATTGGTGTGATGGACGCAAGCTACCCAAATTTGTAACTAGTTAGCACGTTAATTACCGTTCACAAGCTAGTAAACTTCAATTGAATCTCATTTCAAGGCTAAAGTTTACCACCTCCCATAAATCTAATTAATTTATTATATAAAGTATATCGTGCTTTGTAGAGATATCTCGAGAGCTAGCACTGATAAAACTGATCGATAATCTCACATGTGAGACTATTTATAATTTCACATGTGAAAATTATCGCTTTTCATTTATCGCTTTTCTGTAAAAATTATTGCTTTTCAAAGACTGTCCTTTATATTATAAACAGAAAAATATATGGATGCTTGGAAATACCAGATTATTTCTCGTGTTGAACATGATATCCCACTCGTTCGCTGCGCTCACTCTTGAGATATCATGCTCTTGAGATATCATGTTCAACACACGAAATAGATCTGGTATTTCCGCGCACCCATGTATAACTATTATTCTCTATATAATA